GGGACTGGCGTCTGTGCGCTAGGCGACGGAGGGGGTGTCGGCCAATCTCCCCGAGGTTGAGGCTCCCGGGCGCTGGCATCTGCTGGGATCCTACAGTGATCCTGAAAAAGAAGGGAGAAATGGAAGGGAAGCTAGAGCTGAGTACTAGAGCCCCGGGGAGCTGTAGAGGATCGGGAACCCCGGGTCTGGAGGTGGAGGAAAGGTGGGCAGGAGGATGAGGGAGTGGGTTGATTGCTGTAGGGGACCTGAAGAAGCAGCAGTGTCTCCGCTGGAGCTGGAGGAAGAGGCTGGATTTGCCGAAGAGGGTGGAGTGCTGGGCATCCGAGGATAGCGGTTGGGAGAGCCGAAAAGAGTTTCTAAATAAGGAGAGGAAAATGAGCAGAGGATAGTGAGAAAGGGTTCAAACTGAGGTGGGGGAAGAAGGGTGTCTAGCTGTAAAGGTGGGGGTGGGGTGGACGAAAAATGAGGGAAAGGAGTAAAAACCTGGGGTGTCACGTTGGTTTGCAGTGTGGAGGGGAAGGTAGGGACACAGCTGAAACTGCAGTGGTGGGATTGAGGGCAGTTAGTGGTGGGAGGGAGGTGGACAAAGTGGATTTTGAGATCTTAAAGTTTCAAGACTGAAAAGATGTTATTTTTGAGGGAGATGAAAGTGGCCTTTGGGATGTGTGCAGGGTACAGTGGAAATGAGAGAATGGAATTTTGAACTGTCTTTAGAGAAGATGGAGAACTATGGGGAAGCCAGGTGTGGGGGAATCTAAACAAAACAGATTCTGATTGAAGGCAGGTGTTACGGTTTAGCTGCTAATGTGGACCTGTTTCTGCTCTTGTGGAAACAGCTATTAAGAGGTTTAAGTATATTTTATATGAAAAAATTATGGAGAGTCCGTGAACTACAAATTATTTTAAAAATTCTGTTTCTTCAGTATTATGCTAGAACAGTAACAATTGTTCTTTTTAAAAAGGACTGAAATTTACATGATTTTAATGGAAAAATCAATAATAGAGCTAGTGGAATTGAGTGTTGTATGGAGAAACTGGGCTTAACTTGCTGAACATTACTGTAAAGAAATCTATCACAGAATTGAAAAAACATTGTTGCTTAAATATGTTTGTTGTACCAATTTGTACTATTTGAATCTTATATATATACTTCAT